GTGTGTGTTTTACGAACGCAATGCTAAAATAGGATTCCATGCACACCTTTTTAAGTCACAGATAATCGAAAAAGACTGGGAGGGGACTGTATGAGGGAACACCGGGCAATAAAAGCTGACTATTATTCGACAGATGCATCTGATCAACTCCTCCTGTCTTCCTTTTCACTCGTAAAACTAATATTTGAAAAGTCTTGTCAGAAACTAAATCTATTGTGGAAATGGATCCAAGAAGGATTTTAAAAATTTGCCAACCAGAAAAAGTGGGTTACTAAGGTCATTGACTAGAATAGAACATCAGAAAGGTTATGATTTATCTCGTCACTGGGGCTCAGAATGGGCTCTTCGGGTGGAGATATCTAATACGTGTTATTTGCTTGATTCCTAGTATCCTTTTGGATATCCTGCGTGAACACTCCTCACATCATGGTTTTTAAAGGGCCGAAATAAAACAAGTTATGTAGAGATAACAAGGAGATAGGACTCACAGAATGCATACTAGTAGGGAAGATTGTCTGAACTGTACCCTTGTTCGGATAACTCATCGCCAAAGGATCGTAGTGAATCCCATCATAAAGGAGGAGAATGCGTTGCTGATAAGCCTTGTCCTCACCGAATTTGTCAATTCGGCCTGTGAGTACGTCGACGACATTTATCTCAAGCTCGTAGATTTTTGAAAGGATGGAAACTTCGATGCCACCACCCCAACAATCTGGCTACAGACACAGCATGCAGTGTGTTAATATTGTAAGCGAGAGAAAAAAGAAACAAGTGAAAGATCGTAAAGAACAGAGAAGCCCTACCCGCATAATATTTTTGATGTAGGCTTCAGGAGCCATGCCGAGAATTCCTTGGTTAAAGTTTTCTGGATCACTCTGGACAAAGCCGGCAATCAGATTTCGTGTCTCTTGTACACCTTCGGCATTAGTTACAACAGGAGCGTCAATTGCTCTCAAACTGTTTCCGTTCTCGACACAAGTGCTAACACTTGTAAACAGACAACAGTTGTCGGAGGGAGCAATTAGCCGAATGATAGAGGGTTGGGTGGCAGGTACAGTAGACGCCGCAGAAGGTGCATTATTAGCCTGACGAGGTTCGGTTGAGTCCGCGACGATGCTTTCACCGTTGAGAATTGGCACCTGAAAACACGTAAGTAAAAAAAATCGTATTTGAAAAAAATTTGGGGGAACCATGGACTATTCTGCCCAAACCGGTAAGAATTGTTATGACGATTACAAACGACAGGGATCAGTAAGACGAAACGAACGAAAAGGTAGACAAACCGTAATAAGGGAATAGAACTGTCGTGCTAATAAAAAGGAAAAAAAGGAAGGTGAAATATGAAAACATAGAGCGCTGAAAATGGGAGTATTCGCCATTCAAGTTCGACATTGTTTACAGACCTGGTAAAAAAAATCGTGCAGCTGATACACTTTCCCGTATTTGTTGTAGAGCCTTGCTAACGAACGTCAACCTGAAGGAACTGCACGCATCTCGGTGCCATCCTGGGGTCTCTTGGTTATCACAATTTGTCCGAGCTAAAAATCTACCCTTTTCGATGGAAGAAATTCATGTTGTCACAAGATGTCCGACAAGTTGTGAAGTCAAACCCCGCTTCTTCAAAGCACAAAGTCAGCTAATCAAGGCTACCCATCCCTTCGAACGGCTGTCACTCGACTTCAAAGGTCCACTTCCGTCTGTGGCCCGCAATCGTTATCTGCTAACGATTATTGATGAATATTTATCGTTTTCCATTCGGATTCGCCTGTTCCGATCAATCTGCCGAAACCATTATTAGATGTTTATGCCAGCTCCTCTCCATCTTCGGTACTCCGTCATATATACACACCGATCGATGATTTTCATTTATGTCGAACGACGTACAAAAATTCCTCCATGATAGGGGGGTGGCGA